CTCTGCCGGCCACAGAACTGCCATGGAAGGGAGGCAGTGTGACCTCCTCCAGCATCTCAAGGCCTCCAGGGGAACAGGAAGGAAAGAGACTTGTAGCTTATTTGCTTCTTGGTCCTTCTGGAAGTAGGGGCAGGCGGGAGCTGAGCAAGGACTTCTCCAGCACTCATTTCTCCTCTTTCCGGGAATGTTGACTAGTTTCCTCTACAGCAACTCTGAAAAGGTCTGCCCGTGAATACAGGGACATTCTGGGTGTCTTAAAAAGCTAAATAGCAACCCCACCAAAATTCTTATTACTTAATTTCCTACCATGTCACCCTCTAATGCCACCATCTCTTTGTCCCTAGATAAAAGCAAAAGGTGGGGAGGCATTTGTCTTACCAGAGCAGTCACTGCTCTTGGGTGGGGCCCCAAGGCCAGCATCACAGCCCGAGCTGCTAACTCCTTTTTGTCCCCAGCTCTTATTCCATAGTCCCTAACACTGGTGTTCTGAGTGTGCAGGTCAGTGTTTTGATGACTGGGAAGGAATTAATACAGTTGTAGCTACTCTGCTGGTCTCTTTGGTACTTGCATTTGAAAGAGATCACTAAGCTTGTATTTCATTTTCAATAATTGTCCTTTATTTGTCAACATGTTCTTAATCAAAGATTGAGTGAAATCAGAAAACACAGTGAATTTATGCAAGACTGTCAGGGGACAAATACTTGGATCATTTGCATTCCTCATCGCCTATGTCATGGATAGAACATGTTCTAACTACAAATTCCTGAAGTAATAAGGAACTAATTCTGTAGAAAGTGTGAATATGTGGAAAGGAAGTCATTTTTGTTTTTACTTCCCCTCTCTGTTTTCGTAAGTTTAGCTTATTTGTCTCAGCTATGCACTGATACCTGCCTGTTGTCATCCCAGCCTTAAATATTCCCTTGACACTCGGTTTCTCCTGATTTTTGTTTTTTAGTGAGTGAGAAGATTAAAAAATATTAATGTAGGTAAACATCAAGACTTGTGTTTCAGACCTTTAATTTTTACATCTTAATTTCCTTGAATATTGCAATTTTCTGAGTGATACTAAAGAAAGGAAATCTCTTAGGTTTGGGTAACAAGCAATTAACAAAGTGACTGTGGCAGCCAGACAATAGAGTATAGCTGTCCCAGCTCCTCCTGCATCAAGGACCTGAGCAGCTTCTCCCCGCATCTACCCACTCCTCTGGCTTCCGGCCAGTCCCTGTGGCCAAAGTGATAAACAAGTAATAACTGGGAGCCACCTGTCTTGTCTTCTCATTACAGGTTACTAGTATTGGAATCTACTGCTCCAACGGGAGACCTCACCCGCCCACACCACATTGCATCAGTTGTTCCCAACCGATACCCTCGTTGGTTCACTCTAAGCCACATAGAATCCCAGCAGTGTGAGCTGGCATCCACCATGCTGACTGCTGCCAAAGGTACTGAGCTGTCCTGAGGCCTTGTGATTATTTTGTTAGTTTGCCTTTTTTTTTTTAAGGATCATATTTTCTATCAAATTCTCAATAGTGATGCTAACGTTAGATTGTAAAGGATCCTTTTCTTTAGATATTAACTTATGAGACAAAATAGGTGCTATTCATTTGAACTTGGCATTTTCTTTGAGCAACTGCGTCATTAAACCTGTTGCTAGCAGAGTTCAGGTTTAGTTAGCGTGCCATGTAAACGGTAGTTGAGGATCAGGAGTGGATTAAAAAGCTAGGTTACGTGTTTTTTCTCCCTGAAATATTCACCAAAGATACATAAGTAGGAAGTAGGAGAACTATTTACTATCTCATGTTGCTTCTGGGTCACATGTGCTTTTAGTCATTGAGGGTGTGTCCCGGGGTATCTTGTTTTAAAGCCCAGATTCTTAGGCATTGCAGTAACCTTGGGACACTTAGTTGTAACATCTGTGCCATCTGTGAACATTTCAGGTAAATTAACTTGTGCTTTATTGTTTTGTTTTGTTTCCTTTTTTCCCTCCCTTTGTGTGTGCATGTGCATCTGTATGTGCATGTTGTTATATGATTGATTGTTTGTTTGTTTGCTTTACTTTGATTTGGTTTGGTTTTCCCTTGTTCATTGCAGGCGATGTTCGGAGGCTGGAAACAGTGTTAGAATCCATCCAGAAAAACATTCACTCCTCATCCCACATCTTCAAGCTTGCCCAAGATGCATTTAAAATAGCAACTCTCATGGACAGTTTGCCAGACATCACTCTTTTGAAAGTGTCTCTGGAGCTGGGTCTGCAGGTTCGTGACTGGTGGGCTTCCCTGGGGCACGGAGGACTGCTACCTCCAGGCACCATCTTACTGAGGTTTCTCTTTGTTTGGGTTCGTTAGTGCTGGTAAATGACTCTTTGGTGCACAAATCTGTTAGGCTTCCGGAGAGCACTGTACTCAGAGTGGTGGTCATTCCCTGCTCCACGGGACTGCTGCCTGAGAGGCAGGGGCTTACATTTGGAAGCCCTATTAGTATCTTTCAATAAAAAAAAAAATTTTCTGATTTACAGCCTTAACGTCACTGCATGGAGAATTATTTCTAATAAGAGGCTTAAATAAAGCCATCATGTATAATAAAGATTCAGCTGTTAGGGTTAAATTTTTAGAGGAAGTGTGCATTTTTATTGATGTTTGCATTTTCATAAAGGTGGGCAGTTCTGGCTCCTTTTTATAACCCTGAGAAAATGAGGTACAGGAGGAACGACTGGGCCAGGGTCCAGTTTCAGCTTCCAGCAGGCCTGCTTAGACACATGACCAAGGACATTTTGAGTTAGTCATGCAGATAGGTGTTTGCTTCCTTATAGTTTCTGAAAAGATTACTGTGTAAACCAGGAACTGAAAAGTTTGTATTTCTTCTCTTCTCAGGGAATCTCTGTTAACGTTTGTTCCTTACCCCCTAATAAAAAGCAATGAAAGAAATTGTTATCCTTCAGTTACCTAAAGTATGGGGAATACAATGCCCTGATTAGATGATTAATCTGGTTTTCTAGTTATGAATTCTTCCAGTGATTAATAATAAAGTTTAAAGAAAGGAATTACAGGAAAATGTACTTCCCATATATAGTACTGTACAAGCAGACGGTCTAGGAGATTGCATTTAAGCTATACAATGCATTTTAGAAGTTTCTTTTTAAAAATAAATTTTTGTTATTTGTCATATTTTATCATCATTTGCCTCTTAAAGGTATGATGCAGAAAGAACCATTAACACGGGGCCGCCCCAGTGGCGCAGCAGTTAAGTTCTCACGTTCCACTTCTCGGCGGCCCAGGGTTCGCTGGTTCGGATCCCGGGTGCGGACATGGCACTGCTTGGCAGCCATGCTGTGGTAGGCGTCCCACGTATAAACTAGAGGAAGATGGGCACGGATGTTAGCTCAGAGCCAGGCTTCCTCAGCAAAAAGAGGAGGACTGGCAGTAGTTAGCTGAGGGCTAATCTTCCTCCAAACAAACAAACAAACAAACAAACAAAAAAAAAAAAAGGAAAGAACCATTAACACAAGCTTTCTCGTTATTTGGAAGTCTGGCAGATTTTTTGGATAAATGGCAAACTGCTGAGAGCTCATACCCTGCCTCATTCTTTCTAGGCCCCAGAAAGGAATCCCACAAGGCCTTTCCAAAGCTTTAGGAGTGTTATGTCCCTGGATGTTCTGAATCTTAAAGAACAGGGAAAGCAAGCAGGAAGAGATGGATAATTTGTGTGTGTGTGAGGAAGGTTGGCCCTGAGCTAACATCTGTTGCCAATCTTCCTCTTTTTGCTTGAGGAAGATTGGCCCTGAACTAACATCTGTGCCAGTCTTCCTCTGTTTTATGCGGGATGCCGCCACAGTGTGGCTTGATGAGTGGTGTGTAGGTCCGAGCCTGGGATCTGAACCCACACACCCTGGGCTGCCAAAGCGGAGAACAAGAGCTTAACCACCACACCACCTGGCTGGCCCCGAGATGGATAATTTTATGTTAGGATCTCTTATTAGAAAGTGAAAAACAAAATCAAATCACTAATGATGCCAACGATGATATCTTTCCATAGACCTGGGGTTATCTTCATAATCACCAGAAAAGAGCAATCAGAGATTGAAGGAATAACTATAATGATTATTATAAAATACCCCTTTGCCAATTGAGGGTTCCTAGTCAGAATTAATTCATGAAGAGCCTCAGAAATCTAGAACCAGGGAATGTTAAAGCTGGGGAGGAGAAGGCGGCATGGACTGTGTTTAATGCTCCAGTCCAGCCTCTGATTTTGCAGATGAAAAGAGTGATTGATTGAGTGACTTGCCCAGGATGCCACATCTGGTCCGCTGGCCCGCTAGGAATAGAATGTGGACCTCCTGCCTCTTAGGTTATGGGGCAAGGCCAGCTAGGGAAGCCATGGACAACTCTAAATTCATGGGCAGAGCTTTGTTCTAAAGAAGGCTTTCCTTCCACCCCGTAGTAGGGAGTGTGCCTAGTAATTTATACCTTGTAATGAATTGTTTTCTTTTTCCATTGACTTAGGATAATCTTCCAAAACGTTTTGTTATCCTGTCTTTATAGGTTATGCGAATGACACTGTCTACCTTAAATTGGCGACGGCGGGAGATGGTCAGGTGGCTGGTAACCTGTGCTACTGAAGTGGGTAGGTCAGCTTGGGAGGAGGAGCTTTCCCAGGTGCCTCATGGTTGGATTTAACTCATCATTTCCAGATGGAAGAGCGTCGTTACTCTTTTACGTTGACTGCTCCAAGGCTCCTGCCCCTTCCCCCAACCCCCAGCTCCACCCTTCAGTTATACACACTTGCGTTGGTCCTCTTCCAAACTGTCACGTTTGTGGGGCTCTAACCTCTTGTTTAAAATGGAGCAAGTCAGAGAGTAAATATTTTTTTCTTCAGTTCTGTCACTCTTCAGGGCCTTTCGTAACCTTGTGTGGTAATCAAGTTTACAGTTTTATATTAAAGGGTTCCGGAGTGAATCTTGGGTAGATTGGAAACCACCTTTGAAACTAACTTGAGACTGTAGGTTAGTGGCTCAGTCCATTTTAATGAAAATAATGTGAAGTTATCTAGTTGCACTGCGTTTTTTCTTCTTCCTCTGAGGGCGAATGTCGTGGTATCCAGCCAAGACATGACCACTGGGTGTGGTTTAGGTGAGCTCTCAGATGTGTGAGAATGTGGAGCCAGCTGTAAGAGGATTCCGTGGCTGCCTGTGAGCTGCAGTGTGTGAGACCCGCCAGCCAGATTTCTCCCCCTGCAGCAGGACGTCAGTACTAAGGACAAACACAAACAAACAAACACAAACAAAATGGGGGCTGTTTAAAATAGATGTTGGTTAAACTCTCTTCCTGTTTGCGTCAGAAAAGTACACACAGCTCTTGCTGAGAAGTCACTGTCACCTCAGTGTTTAGATACACAGTAGACACTGTAAAATTCTTTTTTTTTTTCTTTTATTACTCAATAATGGTTTGTTATTTTGGAAAAAGGAAAATTGATCTCAGTTTAAAAATTAGGTTTAGATTATTGAAGTGATGTTTTAGTGAAGCAATACAGAGATAATGGCAGTTCCAGAAGTGCCACTCAACTTCTCTACCCCTGCACCAACATGTACAGCTAATTTCTCTCTGCAATTTAGCACCTTTTCTTTACATCACTCACGTTTAGGATTTTCCTACAGTTGAGGCATATTGGGTCTCTGTGCTTAAAATGGTTAAAGACCTGTCAGCTGTTTCTAACATCTGAGTCATCTGTAGGTCTGCTTCTCTTGGCTTTTTTCTCTTGATTATGGGTTACAGTTTCCTGCTTCTTTGTGTGTCTTAATCATTTTGTATTGTGCATACTTTAAACTTACACACAATCACACCATATAAAGGTTCTCTATTTTGGTAAGAGTTGTAGTTTTTCAGACACAAATTCTGTAGTTGGTAACTGACAGGAGGCCCCAGTGAACTAGAACTCATTAGCAAAAAGCCATTGTCTGAAATGGCAAGCAGCACAGTGCAAATACCAGCTACCGAGAGGATTAGTTCTTTATTACAGCAAGTTCATGTTCCTTTCAGGCATTTCACTGAATAACAATCTATGATAACCTTATTCTAAAAGCTTGCTCCCAGGCACATTACCTTACAGGGTTTTCTGGCCCAGCTCGTGTCCTGTGATGGTTAACAATGTAAGCATTGATTATAAAGTGGAAATAGGCAGCCTCCTCGTCAGTAACAGGCCTTCTCTGTGTTCCTTGCAGGTGTTTATGCCCTGGATAGCATCATGCAGAGCTGGTTTACGCTCTTTACTCCCACTGAGGCCACAAGTATAGTTGCGACCACCGTGATGTCCAACAGCACCATCGTCCGTCTCCACCTGGACTGCCACCAGCAGGAAAAGCTGGCCAGCAGTGCCCGGACACTCGCACTGCAGTGCGCCATGAAGGACCCTCAGAACTGTGCCCTCTCTGCGCTGACCCTGTGCGAAAAGGATCACATAGCTTTTGAGACGGCGTACCAAATTGTTCTCGACGCTGCTACAACCGGCATGAGCTACACCCAGCTCTTTACGATAGCACGGTACATGGAGCACCGTGGGTACCCCATGAGGGCCTACAAGCTGGCCACCCTGGCCATGACCCATCTCAACCTGAGCTACAATCAGGACACGCACCCTGCCATTAATGACGTTTTGTGGGCCTGTGCGCTCAGCCACTCCCTTGGTAAAAATGAGCTTGCAGCTATAATACCTCTGGTGGTCAAGAGTGTCAAGTGTGCAACGGTACTGTCAGACATTTTGCGCAGATGCACCCTGACCACTCCTGGCATGGTGGGACTTCACGGAAGGAGGAACTCTGGTAAGCTCATGTCACTGGACAAAGCCCCCTTGAGGCAACTCCTGGATGCCACGATCGGGGCCTATATCAACACAACGCACTCACGACTCACGCACATCAGTCCTCGGCACTATAGTGAGTTTATCGAGTTCCTCAGCAAGGCCCGAGAGACCTTCCTAATGGCGCATGATGGACACATTCAGTTTACACAGTTTATTGACAACCTGAAACAAATCTACAAAGGCAAAAAGAAACTGATGATGCTGGTTCGGGAGAGGTTCGGTTGATGGAACTCGGATGAGTGGGGGCGGGGGGTGGGCGGGGAGGGGCGGTTTGTTTTTACTTGAGCCTGCCTTTGTACCCTTTTTAACTTAAAGAACAGAGCCACACCGGTATTATATGTGTATAGTTCTATTGCGTTTGCTGACTAAATTGTCATGTTGTGAAAGTTTGTGTGTTTTTAATTTTTTCCCTTTTTCTTTCTTTTTTTTTTCTTTCCTTTTGTTATATTTTTTTAATTCTTTTTTTGGTTTTGTATGAGAGAGAGGTTAAAAAGGTTTGGTTTACACTGAGTATATGTTGTCGAGTGGCAAAAGTCCACACAGCTCTCCTGTTTTCTGTCTACGTTCACAGCCTCAAAAAAGTAATCGAAATGGCTTTAAAACCAAACAGAACACCTCCATCCTGTGATAAGTACCTCGAATGGATTCAGCTTTACTCCTTTGTAACTCATCTTTACATTTTCAGCATATTTAAACAAACCAACAAAATGAAATACTAATAGTTAAAAGGCTGACCCACGTGGCTTTGCAGTGCTGTTCGTCCAGAAGCATGGCACACGATGCTTGTGCATGTGGAAACTTCGCGACTGTCAACATACATTCTCAGGGATTTATCAAAAAAAATTAAAAAAAGAATGAGAGCATTTATTGTACTGTATATATATTATAGTATATGTCTGAATATTGAAAATATAACATTAACTAATTTATAAAAAATATTCTATGTAATGCAAAATACTTGAAGCTGCAGTAGCTTGGTTTTAAACAAAAACAAAAAAAACTGAGAGAAAACCTATCAGAAGGACTAAAAGTGCGCCTTGCTTCAGGGTTGGCTCAGGCGGTGAACTTCATGCTGGGCGTCTATGCAGAGCCACCTTCTGGATTGCATGGTTGGACTGAGATCTATTGGGAGAAATTCTATATGTATATATATTTATACAACTTCTGTATACATATATATATGTATACACATAGACACAAGACACACCACCACCACCACCGACAACAACCACTACACCACACATGCTTGTAACAGGCACTAGAATAAAGAGGGACAACAAAATCCACAGCCAGAGCAGCAAGCCTTAGCATTAAGAATATACAGTATGCCGGAACTGGGGTTCGTGCCTCCTAGCCTAGGAAACTTAAAAGAAATATCCTTTTGACACAAAACGCAAAATGTTTTCCAAGACAATTGACATATGATACATTACGCCTTTGCAGTGAGCTAATAATAAGCTAACCTTTGTGCACAAGTAACATTATATATATTATAGATCTATTCTGCATAGGTATTTTGACTTTGTGCAGGACAGAAAGTTGTGTAGGTATGACTGTTCTACTTTTCAGTTTTCTTTCTTTTTTTTTAAATATGTTTTATTTTCTCTAGAATTACTCAAAACGAAAGCAGCCTTCTATCTTGCCTTGTCTTAATGCTTTAAAATAACCAAACTGGAGATCTAACTACCAAACTGTTCATTATATTATTAAATACCAACTTTGGTTACAGTATAGTGTCTTTACTTTAGCTGATGGTTCTGTAATCTTGTGCTTTTTAAAGCAATTTTTATGTTTTGGTGCAAAAGTTGTCCAGTGTCTCTTGTTCCCTTCATTAGAGAACATGCTAGAGGTATGTTTGTAGGTATTTTTGTTTAGAAGAACTATTTCATGCGCTCCATTTTATTTATTATAATAGGTAAAAAGAGAAAAAAAAGGTTGTACTTCATCACCCATGTAAACATGCTCATGAAGTTGAAAGTAATTAAGATTTGATACACTGATATCAATTTATTTATGTAACTAAATCACTGTTTTATAAACTTGTTAATGATCAACAATTTTTGTTTTGATTAAAATTAGTTTTTTGAAAGTTGATTCTGCCTCCTTTATGGTATATCTCTTATTACACTTGAATTTGGTGATTATAGACCTGGGTGTTACGACATCTCCAAGTGTTTAATTCTATATTAATTCAGCTGATAAATATGTATGTACTGTTTTCTAAGCCCTGGAGATATAATGGTGAACAAAACCAGACACGGAAGCTTAACTCTCTGCTTAGTGGAGGAGACAGGCATAAATCAGATAATCACAAAGATAAAATATGAGACAGAACAGCCAGTTTTTCTTCAGTCTGTACACTTGGTCATTCGTCCCTAATTAATAAGCTATAATTAGGATGCCCAGTACTTAATATATTTAATAAATGCTAAGTTTATGAGAGGTTTTTGTGTGTGTTTGTGGTTTAAAAAGAAATTGTATTGTAAGGGGTAAATGCGATATATGCATTGTAAGGATCCGTACAACCCACCTCCATCAAAGATCTGTATGTAAAATGATGCAAATGTACTTTGGTTTTTTGTGTGTGGTAGGAAGACACATCATGAAATTTGCAATCGTAGCCATTTTTTAAGTGTACAGCTCAGCAGTGTTCAGTATATTTGCGTTGATGTGAAACAGACCCCCAGAACTTCCTCATCTTGCAGAACTAAACTCTATGCCTGTTAAACAACTCCCCTTTTTCTCCCTTCCACTAGACCCTGGTAACCACCATTCTCCTTTCTCTCTCTGTGAAGTTGATTACTCTAGAGACCTCACGTAAGTGGGATTATACAGTATTTGTCGTTTTGTGACTAACTTAGTTCACTTAGCAGAGTGTCCTCCATGTTCACCCATGTCTAGCATGTGAGAGGGTTTCCTTCCTTTTAAAAGCTGCATGGTATTCCATTGTATGTATATACCACATTTTGTTTATTTATCCATCAGATATTTGGGTTGCTTCTATCTCTTGGCTATTGTAAATAGTGCTGCTGTGAACTTGGATGTGCAAGTATCTCTTTGATACTTCCTGCGTGCAGTTCTTGTAGATATATATCTGGAAGTGATATTGGCAAATAGGTTTTTTTAAGCTACAATTTTCAGAATATTTAATCCCTTGAAATTATTATTACTTTTTTTGGTGAGGAAGACTGGCCCTGAGCTAACATCTGTTGCCAATCTTCCTCTTTTTGCTTAGGGAAGATTGCCCCTGAGCTAACATCTGTGCCGATCTTCATCTGTTTTGTATGTGGGATGCCACCAAAGATAGCATGGCTTGATGAGTTCTGTGTAGGTCAGCGCCCAGGATCCAAACCTGTGAAACCGGGGCTGCCAAAGCAGAGCACACGAACTCAAC